TGAATGGTATTTGGGATTTTAGGGGGATAGGCCATTTGGACGCAGTACTTGTGCCGCTGCACGATTTTCCAGCATTCGCCTAAAGGTGACCACAGACGGTACCATAGCTACATCTGCCGGTAAGGAGTTCCAGGGACGGTAAACTCGCAGTGAAAGGAAGTGGGAGCGCACTCAGATCCCCGCTCTCCGATGAGCTATCCTTCTTCGATTTCCACCAAGAAGCCTATGCCTACTCAATCGCAGAACACCTTTGTTTGGGTGATTCCGGTCATTTTTTATTTTGTAGGCAGTAATCAAATCCGCATCTAAGTCTACGGTAGCTAAGTGTGAATAGGCCTGATTTATTTAGCCTTTCATCATACGGTTTATTTCGAGACTAACCACTCCTTTTGTTGCCCGTCTTTAAAATTCTTTCCAAGAGGTTGGCATCTCTTCTAAGCAGTGGGGGTGCAATGACATTATGCACTTCAAGGTGCGGTCTGACGTATGTTCTGTACAACTTTAGAAAGAGCTCAAGAGGGAGTGCACCTAACTGTCTATGCGTTAAGTGTATGACTATATATGCCCTCGCCACCTCTCCCGTTTAATTCAGTCTTGTGTCCATTTTTCCGTTAGAACTAGATCTAGGTCGTGCTCCGACGTTGTGCAAGACAAGCTTTCGTTGCACAGGGTGCAACTTGCATTCTGCAGACTAAATGTGAGTAATTTCACTACTTTGCACTTTTCCAGGTTGAAAGTCGTACCGTAGTGTCATGGCATCTTCAGTCGGTCTGCTCACCACCAGTCCCGAATACATTCGAATGAAATCAGCACTACAGGGTTTCCACTTATATGAAAAGCATGCAGATAGTACGTTTATCATTTGAGGTGATTATTGTGGTATGAATACATTATCGGATACATCTAATGACTGTCATCCAGCGGTAGAATTCATACTTGAGATGTCAAACAAGTCTGTTATTCATTTTCTTGATGTGAAATTGGCAGGCACTAGTGACAGAACTCTGAAGAGATGAGTTGATAAAAGGCTGTTGTGCAATGACAGATTTCCACAGATAAACAGCCTCTTGTGGTTGACGGGACTTGGTTCAGTCACTCGAAACTAGTATTCGGTCAATCAGTAGTCTTGATGAAGCTCATGAAAAATGAAGTCTTCTCAAAAAATGACAGAAAATGAGTATTCCTCATGTTCAACAGGCTGAAATATACAGTCGAAACCTGTGAAATGTTATTTGACGTCCATATCCGAAAACATTGACACAAATAAACCCTAAATACGAATGTGACTTAGCTGCCAGAGTCTCGCAGCTTGGCTGAGAATAGTGCTTTTCGGATGCACACCACCGTTTATTAACCTGGAAGAGGATTTCCGGCAGATGGCTAACTCTGTGGGCATCTATCAGTCCAGTGGTTCCTATGGTATATCGGCCGTTCAACGCCAATTTCAGTTTACAGTTGACAATTTATTTAGGATAGTAGGCTATATGCCTGTGTTAATCCTTTCGATTTGTTACACACAGGAGGTCCAATCTCGCCTTGAATGAATCAACGGATGGCGCCGATACGACGTGTTCTGGTAGGAAGTTCCAATGGTTCGATGCGAAAAACGGATCTCCAAACGCAGACGATTCGACCGTGGCTTTTGAACCTTGAGGTGATGTCCTCGCAATTGGTTGGTGCTAGAAGGAAGAAATGATTTAGACAAATTCGCTCCAAAATCATTTCTCAGGATACGGTATGCTAGTATTAAGTCACCCCTAAGTCGTCTGTATGACAGTGGAAATAAACCCAGTCGACTTAACCTCTCCTCATATGAGAGGGTTGAGAAACTCTTGATTAGCTTAGTTCCTACTCTTTGCACCCTTTCTAATAAGTCTATTTCGTATTTGAAACACGGGCTCGCTGCCTGGATCCCATATTCCAAATGAGGTCTGATATAAGTCGGATATAATATACGAAATATATCAGCGTCACAGTTCGCAAAAGCCTTGAGTATGGCCCATCCACGTCATCGTTGTCATGAGTAAGCACTAAGTCCAGCAAGGAAGATCCTTGGGTAGAACCGAATCTTGTACTACCTAATAATGTTGTGCCAGGGCATTTTCCATGGTAGTCAAGAGTAACCGGCTGTCAAACTTATTAGCGGATCCTGGAGATGTGACAGCTACCCAGTCAATATGACGTGCATTAAAGTCACCTAGAATAAGACAGCTACTGTGTTTACTCCATTATTTGAGGTGATCTAAAATAAAGTCATCACACTGACAAAAAGGACTTCCATACAGAACACCAGAAGTATGGAATGACGCCGCTCCGTTTTGACAAGGAGGAAGCAAGACTACAAGAAGAGCTACAGATAGTCCTAATATGCAAGAGCTATACGATTTTGATCGCCATTACTATCTCAGTCGTGTTGAGTTCTGCTTCAGTCAATTTACTACACATGTCCACTTCCTACAGAGTCAATTTTCATTACTTTTTGCTTTGAATAATTCCTGGTATTTTTCACTTGTCACGTTCATCTATTCAATAAACTAAAGCTTTTTTCAGTGTTGTATATTCATGATTCTCACCTTGTCGTACAATACTTCAATTGCCTAATAATACTCCTATTTCTACAAACCCTCTCAAAATTTAAGCTTTACATAAACCATCCTATTAAAGTACGTAACTGATTCTTTGTTGCTTGATGTTTAGTTACAGTTATAATGCAAAATATTTTGGTGAAATTCACTGGGCTGTTAAAAAATCATATGGAAACGATTGTACACCTCGACAATCGACTGACTGAAGAGAGTCTGCTCCCCAAACCACATGTCTTAAGTGTTAGTTTGTATGGAAATGATTTGTTACAAACTTTGATTTTCCAAATACTAGTTGTTGTGTAGCTATTGAGAATGTTAGCATGTTCCTGTCCAAGTTTGTACACTGTCACGTCTACGAGGTAGGGGCTCGCTCGTGTGTCACCACTATCCAGCCCCAGGTAGTATAAGTGACAGGTGGTGACCTTGACTGGTTGTGCTGGAGAGTGCTGAGGAATATCCCAAAAAAATCATTCCGGCTTCTGCGGGGTCATTGAGGAAGATGTGAGAGTTAGAGGTTCGATCTGTTAGACTGTGATAGAATTCACTGATCATCTAGTTGTTGTCGTCGAAGAGTGGGGATATTACGCGTATATTTGTGCTATTTTCCCTTTTTATTCATCCTACATTTCAGGCCTGTCTTTGCAGACAAAAGATCATTCTGGAGATTTTCATAACTCCTTTGCGAAAAGGCTATAACTAAAGAATATTCACACGCATAGTATTATTACTGGTGGTAAAAATCATAAAATTTCTTAAGAAATTTCTCCAAACAGAACTGGTAGTTAAGAAAGTGCATTCGATCACAAGCGAGTACATATTCGATGGAGCAGGCGACAGATAATTCTAAAATTGCAGTAACAGCAATCCTCGTGTGGCAACAGATGTCGAGTATGAGGTGATTTTGTCAAAGTAGCGAAGTGTGGTTGTCTGCACTGGTTGTTCAATGCGGAATAACCACTGCCATTTCTCTAGTCCTTGAGTTTTAGCCGGCGGAACTTTCTCGAGGAAGTTTGCAGCGTGACCATCAAGCTAACTGATTCATTATTAGGATGCTTGCTGAAACGAAATTCTTTGGTTGATCTCTAGTGAACACTCATGGAACTAAATGGCTTAGTGGTAACATTTGTGACTGCAGGATTGGGCGACATGCTTTCAAATCTCTAAGAGCGAGTGGATTCGGCCAAGGCTCCGGGTAAGCCTTGTTGACAAGTTTCAACGAATACGAAGTCCAAATCCAAGGCTTCCTAACGATTATATCTAACTGGAGTCGATTCTGACTGGTCATTCTTTTGTCTAGTTGGCAGATAGCCATTATTGGTGCAACACAAACTCTGGTTGAAAGACAATCAGCATAATAAATTGTTGTACATAAGGCCAATAGGTAAAAACTGTTACTATGGCATCAGGAATACCAAGCATACTACATTCCCAGGTGGCCAACAACTATAGTGATGGTGCAGTGTTTGGTATTGCTTGTGAATACAAAGCGACTTTCGTATAACTTAAAAGATATTATTATTACTGTTTTTAAAAGAAACACCGTGACTCAAGTTCTGTAAGTTGTCATAATTTTAAGACAATAGTGCGTTCCATCGCTGCTGAGGTTGAGGTATTTTGTATTCTAAAACCACTCTTATTTGTTCGTGTTTTTATGTGAGGCTATTCTTTCCAATATGAATAAGTGATCTGAATAACTCGATCATATCAGTAGCTGAAACCTGCTTCAACTATCTGAAATGGACTTTTACTCTAGCAGTTTTAGTTGACATAAAAATTTGGGAAGCCTTTGTTAATCATATTACATTATTTGCTGTCATTGTCATAAAATCCACATTTATTATTAGACCATCTAGCTGTTGTCGCTGCCTAGTATTCTGTTCATGGTGTGATTTTAGAGTACTATAACCACTATCACATTTTTCTCCACATCGGCTGTGAAATGGAGGATTACATACAGAGCAGGGTCGAACACGTTGGAATAAATGCATGTGGTGGGTACTGAGAGGGTAACAAGACGTTACTATCCACTGAAAGAGCCAGCACAAATGTGTACATTTTTCCTTTCCATTATAATATGTTATTTTTGTGCATAGCATCTTGTACGAACTTGAGTATTGAGTTATTTAGTATTTTTACCTTCTTAGAGTGAGATGTCATCAAGAGGACTTGAAATCTGGGAGCAATGTAGTAGTGATGTAGTGATCAGCGATTGATAGCTGGTGGTAGTGGGTGCTGCAGCGAACACCTTTGAGAGCAACTGAATCATCTCACTTGAATCTACCACCAGATAAGATAACCAGTCGGTTATCTCTGTTTCAAAAGCTTTTATATCCACTGTCCTTGTTTCTAAGATCGGACAGTAGATTTTGGTTCATCCCCGAAATTTTATTATAGGCTAGTTAAGGCGCGTCATACAGTCGGTTGCGTTGTGCTACGGAAACTTGGTACTCATTTGTGGTTTTCTGAATTACATAGAATTGATGATTGAGAAATTTGTATTTTAAATGCATAGGGATAGCTATGAACAAAGAAAGCAAGAATATTAGGAAAATATATTCGAAATCTCGTGACGCCTAGATTTAGGATATTTTAAATAATATTGGGGTAATTTATGAAAGTTTTGAGACAATGCTAATTTTGTGGCGTTTGCACGAAATTTTCAAATTTTATTAACACTTAAATACGTTGAAATTTATTATTTTGGGTAAGGTCAAAGCTTCTTAGCTATCAAAATTAGCGGGTGCACTACAGAAACGTCAGGTCCACATTTTTCTGTGAGGAGTATTTTCTTGCCTTTGGGGGACATTTTGCAGTGTATATGATGTCTGCTACGACGTTTCTGCAGTGCACCTGATGTCAGTTGTGGCGGGTTTAGAAAATTCCACCAAATGTACAACACACGCCCAAGCTTACAATAATGCTGAATTAAATCTCAGTAATTCTGAAATAATTCTAGCATCCTATAGTGAGTAAATTCTGAATCTGTTCTCGAGTGGTTTGTTTAATGGCACAGACTAGAACTCAGTCCTGGTTTTCTGCGTGACTAGAACTAATTCAGCACCGTGTTCTTTTTCTCGGCATTTTTAGGAATAGATCAGAACATACTGGGTTTGCTTATCAGCGCTGTTCCAGCCCTTATAGGAAATATTAAGCACTGACTAGCATCACTTCAGGACGACAAGACTTAATTCAGCACTCAGCTCTCTTTTTAAGTACGACCAGCGTTATTTCAGAACATAGTGGGTAGATAAAATCTTCATTTACCATAAAAAGGCATTATCGACGCATAGGTTAGAATAAGTTTAGAATTGTTGTAAGCTTGGGACTTGCTAGCCTTTTAAAATTTCATTAATTTTCTACTGTTATTACATTCGTCTTATCAATTGAAATTCTAGGTGTTGGTGCTACATTGGCACTGGAGGAGTCTAGATATCTATCACAAATTCGTTTATTCACTACTGTCGGTTGATACCTAAGATGCAAATTCTTCGCTCACGATTTCCAGCTCTTCCTCTATTCAATCTTTCCTGTCCTTAGAAACTCTTAATAATGTTTGATAAAGGCACAAGTACTGAAAACCCCAGGCAATTTGATGTAAGTGCTCTCAAAGATTTTGGTGTCTGGTTTTATTAGTAACGATATTTGTGGTATCTGAATTTCATGTTACTACACCCAATTGATTTATAGTGGGCGTCTGCCGTGGTTATCTTTTTATAGGTAAGGACTCAGCAGTCATTTCCTTTTCCTCCTAACTGTTGTGGACCTTGATTTTATACCTATCATCAGTGTCAACGTCTGTATGGTACGTGCTTTGCACTTTCTAAGTGTACAGTTGTTTTACGTAATTGTCCCCCCCCCTCATTATCAGTGGTGACTTCTTTTAACTAGTCTAAAAATTTTTTGTATGAGATTGGGTGCGTGAGTGCTGAATGAGTTGTGATGTGTAAAAATTCATTTGGTTAGTAAAAGACTGGCATACTCCTTAGAATTGTTTTCAAGCATGTGAGTAATTCTGAAGTACATCTCTGAGGGCCAGGCTGGAAAAGAGCAAGCGGCGGTCAAACCAAAACATGGCACCAGTGAATGAAATCTACAACAGTTGGTCTAAGCCAGCCACGTCGGAAGGTGTAGACTTCCTGACTGGTTGGGGTCCTCGGGACGGTAAAAACCAATGGTTGGAAGCAATTGGTGACATAGCTCAAAATCGTTCTCAATACCTGGGTGGCGCAGATGCATCCACTCCTTGTGACTTATGATTTCCTATGAAACTGTTTTGTTCTTCGTTATTACTATTTCTTTGTTTCACACCTCTGTTTACTGTTTCTGTATTATGCATTTCTTCTACTTTCTTCTCTTGCTTTGTGTGCTACATGGAGGGAGTGTGGCGACTTGAACTGCTGCACATATGTGCAAAGTTCTATGTCAAAAACCGACCGACTATGTGATGAGGTATATATTATGTTTAATTTGAGTGTATTGTTTTGCTTCACAGTTCCGTAAATGGAATGAGGTATTTCGTGACAATGCACGAGATGTTATCAGATGCAGGTGAAAATTAAAATCACTATCAAGGAGGCCACAGTTTCCCTATTTTTCTCTTCCTGAAAGTAACGTGAAGTAATGATCCCTTCAAATACTTTTGTTTTCATTATATTGCCTTCAAACTATTTTATTTCTGTTATATGTGCTCACACACCTTGGTGCCTATATTCTATTAAGTTTACATTCACATCAGGTGACAACTAAATTTCACTCAGTTGTGGTTGATGTTTAGACCAACTAATATGCAGCATAGTCCAGTGCCTCAAATATTCCAACAGAACGTTGTTCTTCATATTTGCAAAGCAACTGTTAATTGTCAACATGAGATGTGAACACGATTCATGAACAAATCGACAAAGATGCCAAATATGTTCGTGGTGCTTTCCTAGACTGCACATCTGCTTTTAACTCTGTACCTAGGGACCTTTTATTAAATAAGCTTTCGTTGACGCACACAGGATCATGGGCTAAGAGTTAGTTGCATTCTTATTTTTCTGATAGAATGCAGTATACTGCATATAATGGCAAATCTTCTTCTGCCTCGCTTACAGAAGCTGGTGTTCCTCAAGGTGCTGTCCTCTCTCCTTTTCTTTCTTCTTTCTCCCTACACGACCTGCCTCATTTAAACGAAACCAACTTTGTCAAATATGCAGATGATCTGACTGTATCACTGCGTATCATTTTCGAGTCTGACTGCTCCAAACTCAATAGCTTTCTGTTGGACATCACCAAGTGGTCTAAGTCAAATGGTCTTATGTTAAATCCTTCCAAATATCAGGCAGTTAACTTTACTTTCAAGCATCGACTTGACATACATGAACTAGTTAGTTCCTATGATGCCTGTAGCATAGATGGCACAGAAATCGAAACCAAGTCAAGCATTAAATACCTTGGATTGGTTATTTTCTCTGACCTTTCATGGTCATCCCACATCTTATTAATCTCTAAGAAAATGTTTCGTCTTACCTTCTACATTAAAAAGTTAAGGCAATCAGGTATCAACCAACGTTTAGTTCTGCAATTTTTAAACTCCTGTATTTTACCTATTGTACTCTATTGTTCTCCATTAATCTTTCCTGGGCTTCTTATAAAAGACTATGTCATATTACGAAGGGTATTAAATGCTGTGAGTAGGGCTTGTGGTTTGCCACTGCGTGAGCTCGCCAATATTATAGTTGAGAGACACATAAATTCCTGTACAAAGTGGGAAAAGGCCGTACTGTCAGACCCTCTGCACCCCCTTTATTCACAACTATCCCCTTGTATCTCATCAGGTAGGACGAGAAGTCAATATAAGAGTTATATGCTCGAACCACTAAGTACAAAAATTCTAGAATACCGTATTTTATGTGATAAAGACTCTGTTAGACGTAAAACATATAAGTTACTATGTAATTAGCATAGTGAATCGACCCTTTCATCGTTCGTTCATCTTTCTGTAATTTTATGGTGTCACCCTTTCTATCGTTTAATTATAACTTTGCTATTTTTATTTTAGTTGTTATTACTATTATTACTATAATTTTATACTTTATGCGTATTTTTCTCCGTACTGCTTACAGTAATTTGCTAAATAGCTGGTATAAAATCGTTTTGTTATTATTAATATTATTGTTATGTAATGATTATTTATTTTATTTCTTTTTTGTTGTTGTCGTTTTTGAGTAAATTAGATGCAATATTGTAGTGAATGCTGAAAATTCCTTGCTGTATCATTAGTACTGTTTTTGGAATAAAGCAAAAAATTATTATTATTTTACGTGTATCACTCACTCATATCTGAAACTATAAGACATCTCACTGTCACCCTTCTTTCCCTTGACCACAATTGTACCCAGATTTTTCTTGTGAGAGGAGCCTAAAGACAGTGTATAGTCTGCATTAAAATACCTAACTTGAATTAGTATACAACAGCAAAGTGCAATTGGTACTTCTTTTTTCCAAAACTAGTAGCTTTGTATTATTGATATAATTATAAAACTTGGGCACTGTGGTGGTAGAGTATAACTCCATTATGGATAATCGCTTCAAAATTTGAGAGGTGATTGACAGTCAATGTTTTTAGCATAATTTATTTAAACGCATTAAAACTTGGTACAATATGGCACCAAGAAGGATGCGCCACACAACAATAATAAAACAACATAGATGAAAAAAAAGGAAGACAGGAAAAGAAAAAATATATATAAGTAGAGAACGAATAATGAACTTCGTCTGGAAGGAAAACACTCATTCTTAACAGGTTCAAACAGTGTTCGTTAACTATCATCGGGAATGGAAGAAAGAAGGAAATCGCAACACATTCGCCATTGATTACGATTCTTGGCCATATCCGATAACGTTTCGAGCCATCGATTTGAGCTATCTCTCAGACCCCAACCAGGGAGTCGTGACACACCAACCGATGCTAATCTAGCACAAATATCCTTCATCCCACGACGCCACGTCATGGGCTGACCACCTCTCCGCCTTTTCCAACCCGTCCCAGGGCTAGCGAACAGAGACCTGTACGGAAGCCTCTGGGGTGACATTCGCAGCACATGTCCAAGCCACCGGAGCCGGTGTTTCCAGATGACGACATTCAATGAATGGTGATCTCCACTGTGTTCAAACACACGCCGCCGAACCTCAGAATTACTCACGCGATGATGCCATCGAACGCAAGCAATCCTGCGGAGACAGCGGTGATCGAACACGCAGAGTCGCCTCACATCCTCAGCTCGGAGAGGCCAGGTTTCACAGGCGTAGAGCAGCGCAGCCCGCACCGAAGCATTGTATACCCGACCTTTGACAGCCAGGCTAACGTCGCGACGGCGCCAGAGGTGGCTCAAGTTGATGTATGCCACCCTAGCTTTCATTATACGGTTGGAAATCTCATCTGTCACCCCTCCGCCAGCACTCACACAACTACCTAGGTACACAAACTTATCGACAACTTCAAGCGGTTCACCCGCAAGAGTGAGTGCAGGTACAGGCTCCTGCCAATCTTGTAACAGTACTTTGCACTTAGACGGCGCAAAGCACATACCATACTTACAGACACTGATCGCCAACTGATTGAGTGCGATTTGGGCAGCCTGCATGCTATCGCACAGTAAGACGATATCGTCTGCATACTCGAGGTCGAAAAGTCTATCTCCAGGTAGCAGATCTACACCACCTTCACGCACATCCTTCAGAGCTGACTCCAGAATGTCATCGATGGCAAAGTTAAAGAGAAATGGAGAGATTGGGCAACCCTGTCTAACCCCACTGTTGGTTGGGAACAGTGGTGATAGTTGGTTGTATGCCCTCACTCTACCTGAGGTGTTTCTGTATAGGGCTTTCAAGATGTTAACAAATTTCTCAGGTACACCTCTCTCTAACAGACAGTTCCAGAGCACAGTTCTGTCCAACGAATCGAAGGCAGCCCTAATATCAAGAAACACAACGATCGTTGGCCTGCAATACGTGTGGCGGTGTTCCAACAACTGACGAAGGGTGAACACATGATCAATGCATCCACGACCTGAACGAAACCCAGCCTGCTCTTCGCGAATCAATCCTTCGCGTATTTTGCACAGTCTGCGAAGCATGACAGCAGCCAATATTTTAGACGCAACTGGTAACAGACTGATACCCCTATGGTTGTCACAGGAATTACGTCGACCCTTTTTAAAGATGGGGACGATAATGGCTTCGTTCCACATTGATGGTACGCTCTCTGTCTCCCACACCCTCCTGAACAACCCAGTTAGAGCCATTATGAGAGTCTCGCCACCATCTTTAAAAAGAGCCGGGGGTAATTTGTCTGGGCCGGGCGCCTTATGGCGTTTCAGAACTTGGAGTTCCTTACGGACCTCCGCTTCGGTGAGTGGGTCGGTACTAACCGACCAAGGAGCACTCGGGCTAATGATAGTAGACAATGAAGCTGGTGGCCAGCTGAACTGCTTCCCGAAGTGCTCTGCCCAGCGTTCCAGGCGTCTCTTCAGGCTGGTAATTGGAGTGCCATCTGCCTCACAGACCGTCTCGCTGACACCTTGTTTCTTGCTGCCGGTGGCTCGTATGAGTTG